ATTGGAACACCACCTGCTAATAGCAGCCCATCTGCAACTCAGGTGTCGCCTTCCAATGTTGACATTAGAAGTCCGGCGGACCTATTAGATAGACTGTCTTCACCTTCGGCTCCTTCAGTGCAAGTCCCGTCTGCAGCTGGAAGTTCTCCTATGTTGGATTTATTGAATGGGTTCCCTTCCAGTCCATCAATTCCTGGTATGGTCTCTATTGTATGCTTTAAACTTGGGTACAGTCTTTGCTTCTTCAAAGTTGACACGTTTTTACTTTTCTCAGTTACAGAAGGCAATGGTCCAGCATATCCATCAATAGTTGCATTTGATAGCAGCTCATTAAAATTAACGTTCAACTTCTCAAAGCAGCCTGGAAACCCTCAGACAACACTTATTGAAGCTAGTTTTACAAACAAGTCACAAGAAGTTCTCACAAACTTTATTTTCCAAGCAGCAGTACCAAAGGTAATTGTATTTTTTTTTTTAAATTTCTTTCTTTCACTTGGGAAGGGGAGTTGGCATAGAAGGATTGGTTTATGATATTAGCACATTAATTTCCCCTCCTTAGCTTGCACCTTTTGTGATGATTCTAAATCATTTGTTTGGCAAAAATCATTTAATAGCCTGTTTGGCTAAGCTTCTTTTTGACCAAAGTGCCTTTTTTCCAAAGTTAAGGTGTTTGGCAAAGCTTTTAGAAGAAAAAAATGCTTTTGAGTAGAAGCAGAAACAGTTTTTGAGAAGCAGAAAAAAGTAGCTTTTTCCCAAAAGCATTTTTTTTGAAAAACACTTTTGAGAAATATAAATTTAGAAGCACTTTTTAAAAGTTTGACCAAACACTAATTGTTGCTCAAAAGTGTTTTTCAAATTAATTAGCCAAACACAAACTGCTTGTCACCGAAAAGTACTATTTTGGAAAGCACTTTCCAAAATATGCTGATTTTAGAAGCTTGGCCAAACAAGCTATAAATCTGTTATTCATAGAGTAATTTTCTCATTTTGCTTACCTATTGCTTCATGTATTGCAACTGTCACATATAATTATTTACTTGGATAACTTTACTCGATCTTATTTTAAGTCATGTACCATGTTCATCATCTCTCAACTATGCTTATTTCGTTATTTTGGTGCAGTTTCTTCAACTGCACTTGGATCCAGCAAGTGGTAATACGCTACCTGCAAATGGTAATGGATCAATCACGCAAAAGTTGAAACTCACAAACAGCCAACATGGCAAGGTATGTGATCTCTGATTCGTTTTAGTGGATATCTTTCATACATTTGATGACGGATCAGTGATCACCTTCTAGCAATTTGCATGATCATTCTTTTCCAAACCTGACTGTAAAATAAGCACTTTTTCCACATGCTCTATTATTATTGCAATGTGCAGGTTTAAAGCCGACCTCACTATTCATAGCCTGTGAACATTTTCAACCTTACTGCAGTTTTGGCATTTCTAATATTTTCCTCTTTCCCCAGAAATCCCTTGTCATGCGCATACGGATAGCTTATAAGGTGAATAATAAAGACGTATTAGAGGAAGGCCAAGTCAACAATTTTCCTCGTGATTTGTGAGGTTGAATGGCCCTATAAGGGGATGATTTGCGAGAGCTTACATTGTTAATCAGTACGCGGAAGCTTCAGCTCATTGGTTGTATTGTTCTGGGAGATGTAGCATGTGCTAGTCGGATTTCAAGTAGCTTCACTCCTCAAGTCCTCTTTCCTACCTTCAAAAATAGCCAGTGTACATTATGATCTGATAAACCCAAGTATGCCATTGTGGGAGTCAAATTTTGCCTTTTGAGGCACATACAAAGGAGACCTTGTTGGACTCCTTGTTAAAAGTTTTGATATATGTAAGTCTCATTTTTTTCTAGATTTTTGAGTAATCACATTCAAGAATTGTAATATAGGTTGAGTTGGGACCTTGGCTATATTTTAGACATTTCTTTTTTGGGTTATATAAAATGCGCTGTTTTTACTTTATCCATCATCAAAGATCTGCTGCTCCACATGTAACTGGGATACATTTTGTTTTTGGTGTGAGGTTTCTCAATTTGTTGTACCTTCTTATTCTCTTCTTTTTTATATTCTTGGTTCTACTTGATTTCAGTAAGTCTCGTTTACCACCCTTATNGTTTTGAGAAATTTCGGGATTTTGTGCTAATTGTTGATTATTTTTCGCTTGGGCTTCGTTCCCTTAGCCTATTTTTGACGTCCTTGTTCTGATTGTGGATAGATTCGACGCGAGTGGAGGCCGATTCGAGGGGCAAAGGCGTCGCGAGATAGAGATCTGACCGGTTCGAGGTGAGTAATTAGGGGTGTTCATGGTTCGGTTTGGGTCGGTTTTTCCCTAAAAAGAAACCAAACCAAGTCGGTTTTTCAAATATTGGAACCAAACCAAACCAATTAAGTCGGTTTTTTATCGATTCGGTTTTTTTCGGTTTTTTCGGTTTTTTCGGTTATTTATCGATTTTTTTCTTAAATATGAGATATACACTACCAGATACATATTCCGACGACTATATTTTCAACGTAACACTATCAAATCAATTGATCTTTGAGAAATCTATCATTTACCAAGATATATTGATGATAATTGAAGTAAATAGTGATGAATAATTTAAGTACTCAATTAAAAATTTATCATTTTTGTCATGACATAAATTCTTGTACTTAGCAAAAGAAAACTACCAATCAAACTAGAAAGTAAAGGCAAAGAATTAAATTATTATAATACCAAAAAACTAGACTAAAAATACAAACGACTAATATGTACGATAAAAATTTAGAAAACTTATATAATATATATATATATATATATATATATATATATATATATGTGTGTGTGTGTGTGTGTGTGTGTGTGTGTGTGTAATAATAAATTTAAATAGCTACTTTTATAGTTGGTTTGGTTCGGTTTTTTTTAATTAAAACCAAAACTAAACCAAATTTGATCGGTTTTTAAAATTCAAAACCAAAACCAAACCAAACCTAAAAGTGTCTGTTTTTTTGGTCGGTTTTTGGTTTAGTTTTCGGTTTGGTTTGGTTTTTCGGGTTTTTATGAACACCCCTAGGTAAAGGTAGTACAAAGTGGGTTACCCATATTGCATGTTTAAATCGTGTAAATGACAGTACATAGCCACTTTTAAGCATGTTGTTTAAAATATATCCACAGTTTACAAATGTATTTAAAGATTAACCAATTTCGCTCAAACTTAAGGACACGACATCCTAAAGTTTAAACCTCAAAGTTCAAACTTCATAACAGCGTGTCCTAAAATTCGAAAATTGTGTCTAGAAGTTCGAATCATATGTCCTTAATATTCATGATACTTAGTCCTGAAGTTTGGGTATAATCTTTAAATACATTATAAATTATATATATATTTTAAATAGCGGGCTTAAAAGTAACTATTGCTGCACTTCGCCTAACCAATAGGTGTTTACAAAAAGAAATGAAGGTCCAAGAAGCTAGCGGTTAGGATTCGTGGAATACAGTTAGATTTGTAATATCTTGGTCAGTGAAGTGCACCCTTTAGACAAATAGAGTGCCATTTTATGTTTATTTATAACTTTCTTCATTATTTGGAACTGTTTGTTGTATTCTTTCTTTAATTTAATATCCTATCACACCCAGCCATAAAGAACAGTTGGTAGCTCCATTCGTCATATTGTAGTTTATGATCTGTCCTACCTACAATTATTTGTAAATTCAAAACACTGTTAAGTTGTCAACTTTGAACTTATATGTCTTAAACTAAAACCCTGGCCTACTACAAAATATGCATTAAAAAACAGTGGAGTGGGTAGCTTAGTCGACAAAATAATTAGGAGTGTGTTCATATTTTTCAATAGGTCAGCACCCCATATAATTTCTTGTAATTTAGTGCAACAAAGACTTAAATGTCCCCACACCTTGGAAACCATCCAATTCATAACTAAAGTCTCCCACATCACTTTTCACTGCTCCCACCATTATCAGAAGCTCCATCATGTACCTTGCTTAAGAAAATATTTTGTGGGGCTACTACCAATTTCTATAAATTTAATCAGTTGGGAGAGGGAAATTGTCATTTACTAGACCATTAGTAGGTCCTGCTACTGCTTTCATATTCCTCCTCCTCCTCCTATTTTTTTTTTTTTTATACTCCCTCCGGTCCACCATAAGTGACGAATTTGCTTTGGGCACACTCATTAAGGAAATACAAAATTCTAGACGAAAATAGTTAGTGTGACTAAACTACCCTTCATTAAATATTGCACCATAGTTATAGTAGCACTTACTTCTCTTCTCAACTGTGATGATAATAAGTGAGAATATTACTGAGCTCTCGAGGTAGGGTGATGAATTAATTAAAAAAGAAAACAAGAGGTAAGTGTACACCAATCTTGATTACTAGTGGGTGTAAGAAATTGTTATAGATCAAGAATCCTACACTTCAACCATGTTTAAGTAGAAGGAGCTTGACATTAATAGAGTATATGCTCTTCACATTTTCAGCCATAGGTTAAATGAAGTAGAATTTAGTAGCCTAAGGGTCAGATTTAATCAGCAATTTGTTGTCCTTGTGGCATTATTCAAAGACCATAGAGCTTCAAATGAGACAAAAAAGGATAATAGGGGCAATTGGATTTGAAATGTGGAGAATCTTTTGGGAGACACAAACAGGATTATTAAAATAGGAAGGAAGAGTCCCAAGAGTTGATCTAGGTTTATTTTTTCTTGAGATTGCAGCATTTAAATGAGTTTGAAAAATGTCACTGCAGGAATTATAATAATCAAATATTTAAACTTTTCAGCAACCCCAAGTGGTCCCTTGAAGCATAAGAAGTCTTAGAGATAATATTTTCAAACCACAAGTTAGCAGGAAAAAGAACTTTCTCAAATCTTGGGTGAATTTTATGGGATTCTAATAGAAAAAAGATAAAAGTGGAACATGTTATCCTTCTTCCACAAAAGTGGAAATTGGAAAGAAGCATCATTCAAAGCATAAAAGCAGAAAAGTGAAAAAAGAGAAAAGCAAAAGAACTTATGACAACTGAATAATCAAATAAATTTTAATTAACCAAACTACAAGGCAATTGAAGAAAGGAAAAAAGAAAAAGATTGTATACTATCTTCAAATAGAAGGGGAGCCTTGGCGACACACTAAAAGTTGCCGTAAGTTGACCAGGAGGTCACGGGTTCAAGATGCGGAAAGAGCCTCTTGTATGAATTTTGGGCGTACATCAGGCACAATGCAGTCCGGCCTTTCCCTGACCCGCGCATTGCGGAAGCTTAGTCGACGGCTACCCTCTTATACTATCTTCAAACAGGTTGAGCTCTATGATGATCAGTCCATGGCAAACTTGAATTATGAAATTTATCCTTCTTGGACCAAAGCCAGATCTTGGAAACAGAAAAACTCTCCCCTCTATTTCCAAGATTTAACCTTTTCCCATTATTGTCCCCATCATTTGCAGAATTTCCATTTTGTCCACTTTTCCCTTTCACATTTCCCCTCAGTTGATGACCACCACCATCTACACCATGATTTTTAGCACTATTGGGACACAATGCAACTTGCAATTCTGAATCAGCCACCACATACTGAAAAGATCCCATTGAAAAACACCTTCTTGAATCCAAATTACTATTACTAGTCTCTCCCATTTCCCTTTTCCCAATTTCAAGAATACCATTATTTGTATTCTTGAATTTTCCAAGTCTAACAGAAAACACCCTTCTTGAATTAATTCTACTATCAATATCCTCATGTAATTTTGGACCAGGAGAAACACCAACACCAACAACACTTCCATTTTCATCTCTTGTTGTATCATCAAGAAAGTAAAAGATTGGATTTTCAATACAAAAACCAGGTGTAAAAAGGCTCCCTCTACAAAGTGGACAACTTGAATTTGACAAAAGCCATGTATCTATACAACTTATATGAAAAGCATGACCACATAAAGGGAGCAGCCTTAACTTATCTTGTTCTGAGAATTCACAAAGACAAACAGCACAATCAAATGGTTCTTTTAAACCCATTATATCTTTATATAAAAACACAGGGAGTGCATCAATAAAGGACTGATCTAAACCTGAATCATGTAGATTAAAAAGCTGTTGTAATTGCCTTTGATAGGAACCAGAATCAGACATTTCAGGGTCTCTAGTAGATTCTGAAGAGAACCTATGTTTCATTAAATACCTAACTAACAAATGTAAAATACCAGAAATAAAGAATATGATAGCTAATATTACTATTATAAAAAGAACAGATGGGCTAATTTTATTTCCAGATGAAGATGATGACATCTTTTTCTTTTTTGGCACTTGAACATAGGTACTAAAAAGACAGTATTTTGCTCATACCTTATTTCATTTGTTGAAGAAAAGCATATAGTAGTGCTGATGGCACAAAGACAAAGCCAGCTAATATATTTGAGGAGTACAAGAAATAGAGAGAGAAACCCAATACCCAAAAATGCTCAAGAAAGAGAGAAAATGATAAAATCTGTTAGAAAATAGACCTATTTGCTGGAATTGAATTGAAGAGGAAATGATATTTTTTTTTTTACGTTACCTTATTATTCTAGTAGCAGAAGCTAATTTGTTAATTTTGTCAGATGGCCAGATGGTGGAAAAAGCCAAAAAAAAAACTGGAGTAATTAAATGGGATGATGGTACTTGGTAGCACTAAGTAGCTTCCAAAAATAGGTCAAAAGCCAAAAAGAACATCCTTAGGGGATTTATTTAATTTTGAACAAAGAAAATAGAGAAGCAAAAGATTTTGAAAATACGCTTTTACCCTCCTTATTAGGTTTTTGGGCCGGTGGGGGAATCTGTCGTTTTTCTTCTTCTTAGGCCCTGTTTGGCCATGAATTTTCCCAAAATAAATTTGGGATTTATTTTCAAAACTCATGTTTGACTATAAATTTTGCTCATATTTTGGCCAAATTTCAAGTCCCAAATTTCAAATCCCAAAATCAGCTGTGGCCAAAATCCCAAAACTTGGGAATTATATACATGTTTTTCCAAAATAAAGTTGGAAAATATGTTTTGAAAACGTATGTCCAAACACATTTTCACCTTCAAACCAAACTTCACCCAAATCAGATTTTTCAAAATAAATTTGGGATCTATGGCCAAACGCTAGCTTAATGTGTTTTTGACAATTGAGATTGAAAACTGGCTTCAACAATAACAACAACAAACCCAAACCCAGTTTGCATATTGAAAACTGGCTACAATATGCAATACTAGAAGGGGCCCAAATGAGGATTGTAGAACTTCGTCCCAGGGAAGGATTCAAGATTATGGAGTACATTATACACAGATTTATATTATTGACCAATTTGTGATTTTCAATTGATCTTGTAATAGCGCTGTCACATAAATGGCTGGTGGTCACTTATGTTAAACTAGGGAATTTGTATATTCTCTTACGAGCATAAATTTTTTAGAATTTACGAATTATGTTTGGTTGATGATTATTCGGCATAGCGATGAACGTAAAATAATAAGTGCACGTTTGGACATAAGAATTGTAAAATTCCGGAAAAAAGTGAATTTTTTTCAAGTGAAAATGGTATTTGAAAATTAAAGTAGTGTTTGGACATGAATATAATTTTGGGCTTTTTTTGTATTTTTGTGAGTGATTTGAGTGAAAATTTTGAAAGAGAAATTTTCGTTCCTATACCATATATGAAACTATATTACCAAATATGTTCATAGTTTGCTAATTACCCTTCATGCTAATAGTATTCCTACTGTTTAACCAAAAAAATGGTATTTCGATTAAAGCTTATAATTTAGAAGAACACGGGTTACTGATAATCGAAAGAATGTATAAAAGAAAGCAATTTGGATAACAAGAATATCAATAGAAAAACAAGTAAACCAAAGTATATTCAGATAGTGTTTCGTGTCCCTACAATTGATCAGTTATCTCCTTTTTATAGGTACCTTGGAGATATGCGTTTTGCCTATGTCATAATAAAGCTATTATGGGCAATTAAAGACATTAGAGACATTAAATGCTACGTTACATAATCATTATATTTAATACAAATTCTCTAACGTTTTTGGTATTTAAGACTCATCAAATACTGTATCTGGACTCTCGTGTGCTGTCAGATTCATTCTCTTTGACTCGTGGGCTTAAATGACTTGAACAGGTACGAGCGTTGCCTCTTCTTGAATAACCGCTCGTGCCTCTTCTTTTGCTTTCTGCTCGTATCTATTGCAACTCGTGCCTCCTTGCCAGTTGTAATTCTTTGACCAGTCTATGTGTCACGACACGTCATCTTCATACCTCTTTAATATGTAAACTCAATTTTTCCAATACAGATAGTCCCCCCACTTGCCATTTATTCATCAATTGAATATTTGGGAAGTGGATCTCATTAAAACGAGAATTTTTGTCACCATTAATGCTAGACAGAATCGACGCTTCAATTGTCACTTCCATTTAATGCGTTTCACACGTGTCACCTTCTTATTAGTTCTGCAGTTTTGCAGCACTATTTTAGGCTTTGTTTACGACTTCCCTGCTTACGAAACGTCAGTTATCAATATTATGGTCCTTCCATCATTGCACTTTTTCCCTTGACGGTTGCTTATCAATATAAATATAACTTCCTTCTTTGTCTTTACCACATAAAGTTTATTGAATATTCAATTTCTCAAATCTTTGTTTGCTCCTTCTTTACTATGTCTTCATCAAACCCTACCCCTAGGAGAGTTCCCATAGTTGATACCTTCCCTAATGCCCCGGTTAGGAGCAGAAGGGGAGGTAGACTTCGTAATTTATGGTCTGTTTGTGGTGGTTCTTCTGTCCCTTCATCTAGTTTTGGCCCTTCTTCTAGAACTAGGGGTTCACTTTCACAAAGATCTTCTTCAAGAGGTAAAGAACCTTCTGAACCTCTTCGTGAGCCTACAGTGGAGGAGATAGTTCCTACGGAACTATCTTTTTATCATGACGGAGAATCTCTTAGGAATCAAGTCTCTGGTTTAGATCGTGCTGATACCTATCCCCCTCAAATTACAGAAGTTTTGATTCCTGTAGTTCGTGTAGACTGCCATTGGAGTAGTGATTTTCTATTATCATCCCTAATCCAAATCAAAGAATTACCTCTTATTTAACCGGGTTTCTTTTGTTTATACATACCCTTTCACCTTAGGGTTTAAACCAGCTATTGACCCGGTCATTCTTGAGTTTTGTCGCTTCTTTGATGTCTGTTTGGGTCAAATTGGTCCAATCATATGGAGGGTTGTTGCCTGTTTGAGGCACTCGACCAACACAGCTGGTGTTCCCTTTACTTTTCCTTATTTGATTCACCTTTATTCCCCTAGGCTTTTCCGCAATGGTGTTTTCACACTAGTAGCCAGGAGTAAGAGAGTTTTGGTGAGCCCTGAGGATGACAAAGACCGTGGCTGGTATGCCAGGTTTGTTGCTGCCCCACTATTGGTTTAGTGGGTGAAGATAATGTTCCCTTCCCTGAGAAGTGAAATTTTGCACGTAAGTCTTTAACTTTCTCGTGCCTTTTTTCTTCAAGTTTGTCAACTTTTTTAATTTTGCCCCCCCCCCCCCCCTTTAGCAACCATGGGAGTTGTGGAAAGTGTTCCCAATTTCCGTGATTGGGTAGACAAGTTACTAAAGACCGCACCAATGGATGGTAGGTCTTGGAAGACACTTTCTAACCGATTTGGCTGGAAAGTAAAAACTCATGGTAAGAGTTTTTGTATTATTTAATTTTTCGTATAATGTTTTTTTTACACTAATTTCAATCCTTCTTTTTATCAGGATTTGCTATTCGGAGAGCTACTGCCGAGGCGGTTGCGGCTTCCCGCATCTCTTCAGGAACCCGTATCTCTTTAGAGAGGGCTCAAGAAATAGTCTTAGGTTCTTCATCAAAGAGAAAAGCTGCTGAAGAAGAAGATTCTGAAGAAGAGGAAGACGGGGGCTCTTTGGTGAGAAGGCCTCGAGCTCGAAGACGCATCATTTCTGATGATGAAGCTGAAGCATCCCCCCGCCGTTCTATTCCTTTTACCGAGCCTGCGGAGGCCCCGGTGGTGATTCCCATATCTGATGATAATGCTGCTCCCATAAATACTCATGAGTCCGTTGAATAGCTTTTTATTAGCGGGTTTGGCAGTGAAGGTTTAAGGCCTGTTTTAAATGAAACACCCTTAGCTTCTTTTTCAACTCCCGTGTCTGTGACTCCTTCCCTGCCAACCTCAGCTATTCCTGTTCCTTCTCAAACTGTTTTCACTTCTTCTACTATCCCTCCTTCGACAATTCCTCCTCCAATCATTCATCATATTGAAGTTGGCTCTTCAAGTAGGAGCGCTGCTATGAGGATGGTAGTCATTAAAGTTCCTGCTGAGAGCAGTCTCTTGAGGAAATCAGGTAAAGCGGATGCATGGTTAGAGCCTTTAATTGGCCCAATCGAAAAAGCCAAACTTCAAAGCCACAGTTCATTGACGTTGATAAATGATATTGTGCATGCCACTTTGAAGGTATTCATCTTCTCTCTCTTTTTTCTTTAATTTATGGTTTTTCTATCTTTGGGATTCTTATTTCCCTTCTTTTTTTTTTAGGCCAATCTTATCGGCACAGAGATGATGAAAAAAGTTACCTCCTCAGAGCAGATTGCACGCGATTATCAGCTAGAGGCATTCAATTGGAAGGAATAGTACGAAAGCTTGCAAATTGATATGGAATATTTGGAAGAGAGTAAGAGTACCTTGGAGCAGCAGGTACGGGCCTTGACTTCGGAATTGGGGATTGTAAAGGCTTCTTTGAGTCAAGCAGATAAAGAAAGAGCTTGTCTTGAAACTTCCTTCTCAGAGCAGCTATCCAAGGCTAGTGAAGATAACAGAGAGTTAAAGGCTCTCTTAAGTGAAAAAGAAGCTTACGCCGGGGAGCTCGTGCAGAATTTGACACAAGCACAAGAAGACCTTCGAGTTTCTTCTGATAAGGTTTGTGCTTTGGAAAACTCCCATGCCTCTCTTCAAGCCTCCTACACATCTGCCTTAGCTGAAAATGAGAAGTTGAAGAGCGAGATTGCTGACTGGGAAAGGGATTACGAGATCCTTGAGGATAAGTCTGCTATGGAAGTAAGTTGGGCGTTTTTGAATTCACGCCGTGATACCCTAATTGTAGCTGGCCAAGAAAATTTCAACTTAGAGTCTGAGTTGGCTAAGATCATTGAAACTATTGATAAAGCTCAGCAAACTCAAGATTTTCCTTCTCCGCGGCCGAAGCTTCCGTGAATGTTGAAGTTGATACGGGTATCCCAACTCTTTCAAGCACAGTCGAGCCTGTTGCTGCAAGCCAAGCTGATCCCGTTGCTGTTGATGCACCTTTTTCAGTTCCCTCATCTTCTTAGTGATAAGTTTAAGTTGTTTGAATTCTCTCTTCTTTTTTTTTTTCAGGTACCTTTTTGGAAGGTTATGTTTAAAACCCTTGGTTTCATTTGAGGGTTTGCTTTTGAAAACCTAAGTCCCCAGACCTTTTATGGGGCAGTATGTATATACAATTTGCAGTTCCTATGACTAAGTTCTTACTTAGTCTTAAGCTTTTTAATATTTTAGAAGTTTTCTCGTTGTTATCGTGAACTTCTATTTAATTTATTCTTGCCTTTATTTCTAATGACTTATAGAATAATCTGCATTTTTATTCTTAGAAAATGCTTTTATTGTCTTCATGAATAACTAAATTAAACATGAAT